ACAACCTTACACATGACATTATATGGTTATTGAGAAGACATGGTTTTACAACACATCTCCCACAATAAACCAATAGCCTGATTCTTATAAAAGAAATAGACACCTTAATAAAAGACACAATGAGCAAAGCTTTCTTCATTGAATATCGGAAGAACCTGAAAAAGCACAATCTCTTATTTACAGGGTAACTCCTAAACACAGATAAATCTAAAGTACTAGATTGGTATAAAATCATTCGAATCACTAAAAAATCAGTACCAGGTTCAACCCCAAGGTGGTTTACTACTATACAGAACAAATTTAGAACAATACTGGAAATCAAAGACCAAGCAAATATCAATACAACTAAAAATATCTTTACACAAGGCACACCCTCCACTGACCTTCCCTTCTTCAGACCTCATTAGATATTTATGATAAAAGAAAGTAACCTAACTATTGAAAAAAGACAATAAAAAATAGATAAAAACACTACCAAATATAGACATTATACACAAAACCCAAAAAGCTTACCACTAGAGATTTGCGAAGAATGCATAATAAACAGCACAGAAAATCAATCTATAAAATGCAGTTTCATAGCCACTAAACAACATTCCATCACAATACCAGTCCACAAAGCAAGTCAACAACAAGGCAAAGTAGTCATATAAAAAGATAAACAATCTGGTGAAACAGAGTTTCTCCCAACTCCTTCTCTATCACACTCTTAGAATATACACAAGTTCCATCAGCTTAACAAGAAACAACCATTGAAATCCAATCACCAAATAGTGCATAACTAACCTCAAACATTTAGAAAAAGTGTTGAAAGACCATACTGAAAGCCTGGTATCACTAGCATCAATCAGAGGAAAATTAAGAAACCATATTATTTTTGAAATTTATATAGATGGTTCAATGAACAATTTTGATAGAAAATATTATATGGAACTGGGCTGGGTTATCATTACCCCAAACCAAGAGAAACACACTTTTCAAGGACAAATAATGACACACCCATCATCCACTAGGGCAGAAATTGCAACAATATTTATGGCATTAAGTGTTCTACCTGAACACTCTTCAGTAGCTCTATATACTGATAACCAAGTAGCAATTAATGGTATTCTCAAGACCCAAAAAGAAAAGCTGGAAAAAATCATCAAAACATAGAAAAATTCAAATCTTATCCTTCAAATAGTGGGCTGGTGTAAACAAAACCAGATAAAACTATCTTTATACAAGATAAAAGGCCACCCAGAAATTGAACAAAATGAACAAACAGATTGCCTGGTACAGATTAATAGATAGAAAGGAATGAAACCTGGAGAGAAAGTAATTGAGGTACTGAGATCACAACATAGTCCTCAAGAGATAACAACACAATAAAACAATGTCTCTACAGAAATTCCCATAAAACTAATTATAAAAAAACTCATCCAGACAATCCACTTGATAAAATAGAGACTCCTTAACTGAACAAGATGCAACTATAGTGAAAGAATAGCAAAGGAAATAAATTAGCAAATAACCATCACACTATTACAACTGACTAAAATCAGTGACCACCATATCAACTGGGAAGACCAAAAGCTCTGAAAATTTTGTTTCAGTATATGGAATGATGAATTGTCAACTAAAAGTAAACTTTATGCTAGAATCCTCTATTTTCAAGGACAACAAATGCACAAGATGCAACAAACCAGAAACCAGCACACACCCTTTCATCTGCAGTCAACTCAGATCCACTACAGAATATTTCCTAATCATCACTATAATTACTTGTGTTAAAAACCACACAACATAAGAAAAGGGAAGAAAATTTAAAAGTGTATTTACAAGCAAAACAAATCTAAAATATAAAGAATATCTAATAACAAGCATCAGAGGAGCCTTTTTCAAGGAACTAGTCTACAACATCCAAAATGCTATTCCAAATCAACTGGATAGGAAAACCTGCCTAGGCAAAATATGTTTTAGTATAACAAACTTTCTATACAAAATCTGAACAGAGAGGTGCGAAGCATTTCAGAATGGAAAGTCACGATGGACATCATAAGGAAAAAAGAGAAACAAGTAAAATATGAAATCAGAAAGAAAAACCTGACCTTCACCGAAAGAGAAAGATTTATAAAAAAACAATACACAAACCTGATCAATGATTTTATGAATCAATAACTCACGAATATTATAGACAGCTCTTTTATTTTTGAAATTTATTTTAGCACTAGTCCAGCCTTGGCAGGTTAGCCCCTATACAAGGGGTAGCAACAAGCCACAAGGTGAGTACACTGAGAAAGAAAAATCTCTATTGAGTTTTGTTTGGTAGAAAACAGGTAGTATATTCTAGGGTAGCTTCTCTATATAATATTACTGCATATATACAAATAAAACAAGGCTGAGCCAGCATTTAAAAAAAAAAAATACTTTTAATATTTATTTCAATATATTTTCTTTATAGCCTTTTGTACTTCAATATTGTTGTGAGCTAATCCAGCAAATCTAATACTAATCTATAGTATCTTATGTAATCTAAATGATTAATAAATACTTACAACCAATACAAAAAAAATAATGTCTTCTGTAAAGAATACTTGGAAAGGTAAAAATATGATATTTGACTTGACTAAAGATAAGTGTTTCTTTATTTGTATTTGGTTCTTTTGTATATTACTAACTCTTATTTCTATTTATAATAAGGGCTGTTTTTCTAATATATTTAGTATTGCCTTTTCAACTTATACTGATAAGCTATTTATACTTTCCCAATTAACAATAGACTATATACTTTATAATAGGCTATGCTAACCTTAAACTTTGCTAAACTTTTCATACTTTGTTAGACACATATAGTTTCTTTATTAAAACTCAAGCCTCAATCTATAGTTTCTTAACTTGAGAACTCAATTTTTCATGTTAAACTTTTAAGTTTTTGGATTCTAGGCCATTATGCATAAATCATATCACTTATATAATTTATGACAATGGCTTGATAAAATATATAACAATAAAAATTTATAAATAATATAAAGATTAAAAAAATTTTATTTAAAATTTATTATAAAACAAAATATTATTCTTAAAATTAAACTTAAATATTATTATTAATTATAGTAAAATAATTAAATTTGATTAAAAATTTTAATTACATTATATATTATTTATTATTATTTTTTAATCTACCATTAAACTAATATGACTTATCTTTATTGTGTATTTTAAATCATTATACAATTTAAAGACTTTTAAATTATAGCTTACTCATATTAAAAGTTTAAAATTTTTTATACAACTTAGAGAATAACATTTTGCTTTCTTAATAACTTGGATTATTTTTTAGTTATCAAGTTATTGCTTACAGTTATCACTATAAAACTACATTATATATTATATTACTTAAATAAAAATTTATTTATATATTAATTTAATTGACAAATTAATAATCTAACTTATTATAAATAATATAAAAAATTACTTTTTAAAATATTTGAAATATATTTTTTTATTTTTTTTTTACTTTAGCCAAAATCTATAGTAAAGTTATTAAATTTTTTAAATTTTGGAATCCATATTATTTAAGTATATTTTATTTATTTAATTGATTTATCTACATATATTATATAGTATTTTCTATAAAATTAATTATTATTTTTATTATTTTTTTTATAAAAACATTGAGTATATCTTATATTGCAAGAATATTTTTATCATTATTAATTTTCTATAAAATAATTTTATTGTAAAGTTTTTTAAAAATTTATTTTTTTATCTATATTTTTTTTTCTTAAAAATTATTATAAATAGATTTTTTTTAAAAAATAGAATCATTGATAAAAGCTTTTTATTTTATTTAAATTAATAAAATAATAAATAAAATAATAAAATAAATAAATAAATAATCAAATAATCAAAAATTTTTATAATTAAATTAAAGACAAAATATAGATTCATAAAATATTTTAATATAAAAGTTAATATTATTTCAATAAATTAGTTTATATAACTATCTAATCTAAGTTTCAAATTAATTTTTTCAAAAAAAAAAAACCCCCAATATGATTAAACGTAGAGTATAGCATAAAGCTATGAATTAGTAGTAAGAATCATTCAAATTATTTTAATTATGTGTTACTGATTATAGCATATTTAATTAGAGGAATTTTTGGATAAATTAATTATAAAGTAAAAAATTATTTTTAAAATTATGTTTAGATAAAACAAAATAAATGATTTTATTGTATTTTTCATATATGTAATTTTAAAAAATATAGTGCATAAAATTAGGTATATTACATATTATACTTTAATTTGGAATATTTTATTTAATAATAATTTTTGAAAAATAATTTATAAACTTGAAATATTGATATAGACTTGCGTTAATAAATATTATTAAATTTGTTTCTAAGTAATTATTTATATACCTTTGATATTTATTTTTCGGCTGTTATAATAACAAATATTCAAGTATTTGAGACAACGCAAACTTGAAGTGTTTAGACTTGCAAACTGTTCACATCTTTTTTTCTTTGTTATTAGTAATACAGTATAATAATTACAGTAACACATTTCCTCGTTTCTATTTATTTTATATATTTTTATAAGTAATTTCTTTTAGAATAGTAGAAATAATCTCTCCATATTAGTTAATACTCAATCAACAGGTTAAAAAGAATTTTACAGAGACACGCGATAACATGCCTTATACAGTATTTCGATCGGAACCTTCGGATAAATAAAGGATTATATTTTACGCAAAACAATAGAACAATATACAGCATATCGGCATTTTTAGTACATTACTGTAAATACCAGGTCAAAAATGAAAAATATTAAGTTTCTTCTAAAATTTATATAGTTTATTCAAAATAAATGAAAATTCCAATGATTGTAAGCCTCAATTATGTAATTATCATACATTAAAACATGCACTTCGCTCTATATTCAGGATTTTACAAATATAGTACTCAAATGAAACAAAAGAATTCCACCAAAGATAATTTTTTCTTTGTAATTTCCTAGCTGGAAAATACTGGGTCACCAGCTTTACATACGTTATCCTGGTTGTCACAATCCGATCCTTGGAAACTATGATCTCCGCTATTAAACTTGTTAAAGCAGAGATTATGCTGGCATTACAGGAATTATTTAAAAAGGACATAAATTAGGTCAGTGACACAATACTTTAAATGCGATGCAACGATATATAACTTACTTGAATATCACATTGACGGTTCTGGGCAGCACCGATGTTTTGGAATTTACTGCCGTTGACTTCAAAGTTAGCACCAGAACCAGGAGCCAACTTTTGGATTAATGGCATCTGAACACCTCCAACGGGATTTGTGAAAGCCTGATTATTGACCGAATTTTTAGGAGGGGTGTTGCAGGAGCTAGGGTTCGTATTTGAGTTATCGGTAGCGGTAGGGGTGGTAGTGGGGGTAGTGGTGGTAGTGGTGGTAGGGGTGGTAGTGGTGGTAGTGGTGGTAGTGGTGGTAGGGGTGGTAGTGGGGGTAGGGGTGGTAGTGGGGGTAGGGGTGGTAGTGGGGGTAGGGGTGGTGGTGGTAGTACCCGGATCCTGAGCTTGAACTAAACCTTGAAGTTCCTTATTTCTCGGTGGTCTTTGATATAAAAGGGATTAAATAACATAAGAATTTCATTCGGGAATTCGTCTATTTTATAAACAACAGTAATTCGAAGATTGCTACCTATTGCAAAGTTCAGAAGGTTGTCCGACATTCGGAGTGTTGCGCTCGAGTGTTCGATAATCCTGACAAACTTTAATAAGGTCACTTTCCTTTTGTGGTCCAAATGAGCTTGCAAACTTCTGACCTACAAACATCAAAGACAAATTATTATAAAGTTATACATAAAATTCAAAACAATAATGACTAATTACCAATTTGATGCGCAATGTCGACGCATTGGTCTGCAACATCCTGTTGATCGCAAGCGCCGGCCTTAGCCAACAGAGCTCTTACCGCGGCGCCAGATAAATCTCCGAGCTGAGCTTCGAATCCAGTACCATTCGAAATATCTTTCATGGCCTGGAAGTCAGCGTCAGCTCGAGGAGTATGCTCTTGACCGAAGCGTCTCTTCTCAAAGCCCCTTGGAAGTGCGCTTACGGCAGAAAGAAGGGTCAAAGAAATTGTAAGAATTGAAAACTTCATGTTTAAGATTCTAAGGATGAATTCAAGTTGGTTTTAAAGATATTATGATTAAAGAAAGGATAGTTCCAACTTTGAAGAAAGCAATTGGTTCGAGCACAGCTCAAAAATTTTGAAGCGGTGAGACTAGCTCTAAGTTTAAAGGGAATAAAAGAAGTTGATCAGAGCACAGATCAAAGAATTCGAGGATGAATTTTAAAAAAAAGTCGAGGGAAGAAGGTATATTTATAATGGTTTTTCTTCTAATCAAAAAAACTCATTTGCATTATCAGATCCTCAAAACCTAAAACGCGTGGATCTCAATTAAATACATTAAAATCTGTTGTCACACATAAGAATCATTTCTAGATCGGATGCCTGAAAGTGATCATAATCAACGGGGACACTAGCAATAAGATAGCTCAAACAACTTAAACACAATCTCGGGCAGAGAATATTAGTAATTATATTGCCTTCAAAAAAAAAAAGAAAAGAAAAGAAAAGAAACATGAACTACATACAACGTGAGCAAACAAATGAAATAGCAACGACACGATGTTTATTGGTACGTATTGGATCCGAAAGTTTTCACGAAATTCAAAATACATGCGTTCCGAAAAAATACGAGTTACTGGATAAGCGAGAAAATACAATAATAAATCTATCAATTTAGGTAGAATATGTTATTAACGAATCAAAAATTTTTACGAGTAATTGATCATTCCCTTTAAGTAAACATTGCGAGGTGTGCTGTTTCAGAAATTAATTCACTCAGGTTTCATAAAAAGTGAAATGGTAAAGAGTCGTTTTTTCTTTTCATTTCTTTAATTGAAAATCATTACGTTTGCTCGATGGTGCATTCATCTTTAGGTATAAATTCTAATTTACTTTTCAGGAAGTAATTTACTGTCTGCATGAGAAAATCCGTTCTAACCCTTGTTAATGCCGTTTGATGTCATTCCCCATTTATACAAGATTATGAACCTGCATCCGAAATGTTAGAAATGTTCATTCAAAAGGAGGTCCATTCGTGGTAAAATTAATGAACCGTTGTTATCACGTGATTCAAATATTCTCGTTGGGATAGTAGTAAAATTATCAAGACAAAGAACAAACTTTCTGAGGAGATGGAATGAAATGAAAGTATATTATAGCACCAATCAATGGGTACTACTTCCGAAGCATCTTTGAAAAAACCTTTCAGTTCGAACAACAGTGGTTTCAAATATCGCTCGCTCAATTTCATTTTACGCTTGATCAATAAGGTGATGTTCCAATGGAGACTTGATTTTATTATTTATTTATTTGTGATTTTCAAATGTGTGGAGTTAAAAAATCATTCTTTCCTTCTGTTTTACCAAATTCGATGACCTCCGCGAATATTTGACAATTTAACGTAATGGCATGATAGCTTTATTATCTGAAATCAATTAATTATACACCATATTATTGGCTTAGTGGGCGTCGATAAATTATATTTCTATTTATCCTACTTACTCCATTTATTTTCGATACGAAATGATTTAAAAACGCTCATTCACAACTACTCTGCTTACCGGAACCTTTTATTGCGTGCATATGATCTTGCAGGTTCTCTGATCTGAACGTAATTTTTTTAGAAGACGTGACATTAACTTAGACATACCGTCTGTCATCGTATAAACTTTCATCAGGAGATTCTGTTGCTGAAGGGTTTAAACTATTTTAGAGACTACAAAGAATTAACGATATTAATTTCGTATTGTTCGTCTTTGTTTTAAAGAAGTCAGAAGGCGTTGTGCACACCATTCATTCGAGTTATATCAATATGATGAGTAATAATTTTTCAAAATTCAAAACTTTTAGGAATTTAAATCCTACATTTTAGTCGACGGTTTTATGTAGAAAGATGGTCATAATAGAATAGAAATAAAACAAAGGCGAATATTAGATAACAGAATTTTAGTAAAAAAATTTTTTAAATAATTATAATAACTTTTATTTAATTATTTTTTTTATAGGAAAAACATTTAAAATTTTTGTTATTGAATGCAAATATTTGTTAAAAAATATTGACAAATAAGAAATATTACAATATTTAATTTGAAATTAGATTATTATTATTATTATTATTATTATTTTTTGAAAATAAAACCATTGAAAAATTTTTGTTAATGCAATTTTAGATACAGTATGGGACATTGAAAACCAGAATATAAAAATTGTTTATAACTTTATAAATACTAAATAAAATTAAATAAAATTTTAAATATATGTTCTTGAATACTTATGAAATAAAATTACTTAGAACTTATAAATATATTACATTATTCTTTTTTTTTAAAAAAAAATTATATTTTAGAAAAAAATTTAGATTTAAAATTAGCTATAATAAACTATATATATAAATTTATTATAATTTAATATATATAAAATTATGAAAAAATTATTTTTGAATATAAAATTAATAAAATTATTTATAATTAATTTCTTTAATAATTATATGTTTTTCATTTTTTTGTTTTAAAAAATAATATTAGCTATTTATAATATATAATTAAAATTTGATAAAGTTGTATATAAAAACTATTTTAAATATATCTAAATTTACTTTTTTAGATTAAAATTTAAACCATCAAAAAATTTTTTTTCATAAATATTTACTTAAAAAATTTTATATTTTTTATTTTTTTTTGTTCTTATAAATAATATTTTAAATTTTTATATTATTTCGATAAATTTTAATTAAATTTATATATGACTAATTAAATACTATTAATATTTTTCTGATTTTTAATGTTCTATACTATATATATCACCGATAAAACAAATCAACAGAACCTTATAGAAGAAATACTAGAGCAACGTATTGGAATTATGGGTCTATATGAAACAAAGTTAACCAAAGCAAAGGCAAAATGAGCCTTTCAAAATCAAGGGATGTACAAACACTTCCACAGTGTCAACAAAAATGCTACCTATGGTGCAAAAGTTAGCTTATTGGTAAGAACAGATCTGGAAAAGAAAATTGCATCAATAGAAGAGGCAGAAGGACATATAATAGCTATCAATATACTTATGAGAAGAAATAAGATATGCATTATTCAAATCTATATCCTCTCCAACAAAAAACGAAGTAATAAGGTACAAAAGAATGTACAAAACTTTATCAAAGAAAAGCATAGACAGAATTTTCACATAATAATTATAAGAGACTTCAATGCTGCATACAACCCTGTAGAAGATAGAGCATCTACCTTCAGGGCAACATTCAAACCATCTTGATATCCAGAAATCCAACTATTTGACTTTCTAGATGAATGGAATTTCATAGACACACAGACAACATGGGAAAGAAAGAACAAAACTTCAACAAGATGAGATGCTACTAGCAGTAACCGAATAGATTTTATATGGATATCACAAAGTCTTACAAAATTCCCATTACTGGGTTTTAACAATCAAAATATGGAGAAAACAATCGGCAGTGACCATACAATACTCATAATAACATTATATGATAATAATTTTTCTCAAGAGATGGTATCAACCGATCCACAATAAAAAATGAAAGGAAAATTGATATTAAAGAATCAATATTAGAACAATGGCAAGCATTCAGAAAAAGTATAAACTATAAGTTTTGAATAATATTAAAGCCTTTGTTAAAAGAAGAGCTAGAAGAAAGTGAAAAAGAAGCTTATGCAAATACTTTATGAAGAGTTTTCGAGGTACAAATATGCAAGGCAGCACACAATAAGCTGACTAGTAAAAAGATATCCATGGCCAATAAAAGACATTACAAGCATGGCCCAGAATATATCAAATATAGACAAGCTCTTCAACTTAAAACACTTCTCAAGAAAGTACAAACCTTACAAGAACCAGACAAGCTATAGGCCCTTAGTGTAGCAATTAAAAAACACAATACAGCATACATTCCCAATCACCAAATTGAAAACCATTGTGTTCAACATAGCATTTCAAATATACCATGGACACTTTTGAAAAAAGAAA